GGGGGGGGGGGGGGAAGCTACGTGCCGCAGCGTATCAGCTTTTGTCAACCTGCCAAGAGCGGAGCGTACCATGCTGCACGGAGCAATAAAAAAGGAATTAGAAAACTCACGGCTAGAGAAGAACAGTCAGATTAAACACCTTTTTGAAACGAAGAGCGTGTATACATTGCAGTTCTGTTAAATGTAGGATCTTCGTGAGATTTGGGGCTGTGTTAAGGCTGGTAGAGAAGAGAAATGATGAAGCAGGAGTGGTCTGGTGACATTTTTCTGACTTGATTGGCTGGGGTGTGTGATGTCATAGGTTACAGTGCAGCCCCTTATAGGTTTTGAAATGAATTCCAAGACACCATTACAAAGAAAGCCGGACTCTTTTCTTATAACTGAGCTCAGCCAAGGAAACTCTCGCACAAATGTACAACACTGTTTGGAATATGGAAGACCTGGATTTAGAATATGCTAAGCCAGATATAAATTGTGGCACAGACTTGATGTTTTATATAGAAATGGATCCACCAGGTAATACTGCAGTATTCTTGTAGAAAGCTGGTTAATGTTGTGGCATTTAATCTTTTTGACAACTACGGTTAACAGCTCCTCTTTGGATGTCTGTTTTTATTCATTTGTTCTAATTTAATGAGTTTGCTCATAGCGTGAAAATGAAACAAATGGTTTGACTGCCTGTGGAAGCAAGTCAGGCTGTGTGGGGTAAATGCTTATTCTTAGTTGAATGGATATAAATTGGATTCCAGTTTTTCACTGCTGTCTTTTGTTACTCGAGCTCATTTGCTGTTTGGGTTATATTGTTGTATGTCGTTCCTTTAATTAAAAGGATGCAACCTTGGTGCTGCTTTCTCTGTTGACAGTGGATGAGGACAGTGTGGCACTTTGCAGTGATAACACTCGGTACTTTAGAAAGCATGTACCAGTGCTGCTATCAAATGTAGCAGTGATTGCAACTCAGTTCTGGGTGCCCTGAAACTATTCTGAATCAAATGTTGAGACTTTGTCTGCTCTCTCTTCTATTAAGATACTGCAATGAGAGAAGTTGGCTTCCCATTACTGAGTCTCGGTCTTTATAAAATATACCTGCTAGACTCCTGAAATTTTTTGCTTAAAGTAATAACCAACAGTGCTTTAAAACTTATGACTTAGAATTTAGCTAGACATCCTAGGCTTATTTTGCTTTCTCATTTTCACCTTCCTCCCAATTAAGAAATTCAGAAACACTGCTGCAGTCTTGCTTTATTTGTCACCCGTTGGTACATGAATACTGATTTGACATTGAGGAAGAGGGATATGGTTTTTAGTCACTCTTGGCATAATATAGAGCACAGTTATCCAATAGAATATTATCATGAATACTAAAGAGACTGAGGTCACAGAGGAGTTTCTTAAAGTGGCTTTTGGCAGAACAGTGCCTGAAATACTAAGATTAGAGAAACCCAATTCCGCCTCTTAAAACATATTCCTGTAGATGAGCTTTTTTATTACCACAGCAGCATTTGCGGAGGACAGAAACCAAATTTGTCTTTTATAATTAAATAAGAGGAGGAAATTAAAACCAAGCCATGTGATTCCTTCTGCTGTTCTCTTTGTGGTCTCTTACTTTAGATAGATTTGACCAGATATGAAACTTTAATTCAACTCAAACCTGAAAGTAGAAAATGTCGTGACTGACTCTGGCTTTACTTTGAAATTCATTCACATGGCCAGCCCATTTTATTTGTTGGTCTCTAAGCTCTTCCCTTTTTTTCAATTATGGTCTATAGGCAAAAAGATATCTGATTTTTTTTTTTTTTTTTTTTTTTTTTTTTAGAAAAGGTTCATGGACTCGTGCGTTATTGCTGTGTTTTACAGTTGAAAATGTTACTTAAAGGAACTTGGGTCGACTTTTAAACGTTTATTTGTAGTTGGGACTGCAAAAACTTTTTCTTTCTCCTTCATCTACAGCACTGCCTCCTAAACCACCAAAACCCACTACTGTAGCGAACAACGGTATGAATAACAATATGTCCTTACAAGATGCTGAATGGTACTGGGGAGATATTTCGAGGTAAGGCTACAGAGACTCTTTGAGTTTTTCACCAGAGCTAGGGAGTTTTAGATGAAGAGAACGAAAAGCAAAATGCACCAGCTTGCTAAGTTCCATTTTTAGGCTATCATCCAACATAAGCATGAAGCCCAGTTGGTTCCCTTCCAAAGACGACCACAGAAGTCACTGAGCTCTGGGGAATTGTGGGTGCTGGATGCCACAGGAAATTAAATACCCGAGAAGTTTCATTACTGACAGAGCTGTCAGGGGGGCAGCAGGGTAAAGTGGCACTGCCTCAAGGCAGAGTGTAAAGTCACCCTCTTTATTAGACAAAAACTCTAAGAGTTAATGTTATCAGCTTACCTTTTTTCTTTTTTTGTTTTTTTTTTTTTTTTTTTTTTTTTTTTTTTTTTTTTTGAGGGGAATGAAGAGTTGTTGGGAGGAAACCTTCTGGGGATCACGACGTTCTGTGCTTATTTGTCAGGATGACTTGTGTGTTAATTCTTAAGCTCTGAAAATACAATTAAGAAAATGTAACACGAGAATCACCAGATCCACTAGGTGAGCATTGTCTCATGTTCTTTTCACTTCAGGGAAGAAGTGAATGAAAAGCTTCGAGATACAGCTGATGGGACCTTTTTGGTACGAGACGCATCTACTAAAATGCATGGTGATTATACTCTTACACTAAGGTGAGTTAGGGCACGTGGCTAAAATTCTAAAATTGGCGTGTTAAAGGTGATGGGAGAACACGCTTTTTTTTTTTTTATAAAGAGAATTCTAATGCCGTTATTTATATATTGCATTTGCAGGAAAGGAGGAAATAACAAATTAATCAAAATATTTCACCGAGATGGGAAATATGGCTTCTCTGACCCATTAACCTTCAACTCTGTGGTTGAACTAATAAACCACTACCGGAATGAATCTCTAGCTCAGTATAATCCCAAACTGGATGTGAAATTACTTTATCCAGTATCCAAATACCAACAGGTAATCACATACTCATGTTAATATTTTTAAAAGAAAGATACTTTTAATGTTTAGAAAATATTCTGGAGCAGATGAAGTGCATGTAATCAAGCTTGAAAAACGTTCAAACTGTAATTCTGTGATCACAAGTGTATAGTGGCTCAATAAAACACTTCCACAAAGTAAATGACCATTGTCTGAGGATTTTTCCCATGTCAGATAAGTACCTTATCAACTGAATTTATATTTTTTCCATTTTCTTCTAATCCTTCCAGGATCAGGTTGTCAAAGAAGATAATATTGAAGCTGTAGGGAAAAAATTACATGAATATAACACTCAATTTCAAGAAAAAAGTCGGGAATATGATAGATTATATGAAGATTATACCCGTACTTCCCAGGTGAGTTTTCTGTGAAAATCACATTAAAATGGTAGAGCTCTTAGTTACTAGAAGCTAATGCATGTTATATTCAGCTTCAGAAAAAGAACTTAAAAGGTTGAGTTTTTGCCAGTAATAAAGTGGGGAGATCATTTATTTGTGAATCGTTGATTATTCTAATAATTACTTACTATAAACCTTTTAAATCAAGCCTGTAGATATCAGAATAATAAGTTGGATTGGCATAACTGCAGATTGAAGAATTCTTTTTAGAGTGAAAGCTAATAATACTGGAAGTTCCACAGACTTGTCTAATCTCTGAAAGGGGGATTTAACCCTGAGATGCCCTTACTGTGAAAGGGTTGAGGCTACATTTACTGCCTTGTTTTCCTAGAGGCTTTAATCTCCTCTAGACCATCACGTATCTGGGACCGCCAGAGGGAGCAAAAGGATGGCATAAACTGCTGATAAAGTGGAATGGTTTTTAAAAAAGATGAAAACTGTAGAAAACTGTCAAGCAGTCATCTTCCAGAGACTGGGAAAATTCTCCAAAGGAAATGTGTGCTTCTGTGATACTATTTTAAGGGGTTTTATGAATTTGAGTCCCACCTTGCTAACAAAATACTTGCGTGCCAGATAATAGCGCCGGTCAAATGTCCTGGTAGCGTCTTGCCGTAAGATAAGAAATTGTCTTTTCTGTGAAAGGAATGACCTTGTCTTATTAAAATTGGGTTGCAGGAAATCCAAATGAAAAGAACAGCTATTGAAGCATTTAATGAAACCATAAAAATATTTGAAGAACAGTGCCAAACCCAGGAGCGGTACAGCAAAGAATACATAGAAAAGTTTAAACGTGAAGGCAATGAGAAAGAAATCCAAAGGTTGGTGACCCAGGAGGGTTTCCATTGCCCATGTGCTAGAGCACCACAATTCTCTTAAACTGTTTAAAGGTGACCTGTGAAACGACAGGGAGAGAAAGCATTGTTTACCTGAGGAAAACTGCTGGGAATCAACACTGCAACCTTGGGGGAACTATCATGATGCTCCAGGTAATTATGGATGCATTTCTCTTGCCTGCAGGATTATGCATAACTATGAAAAGTTAAAGTCTCGAATCAGTGAAATTGTCGACAGCAGAAGGAGATTGGAGGAGGACTTGAAGAAGCAGGCTGCCGAGTATCGTGAGATTGACAAACGGATGAACAGCATTAAACCAGACCTCATTCAACTGAGAAAGACAAGAGACCAATACTTGATGTATGTACTGGAAATGGAACCCTGCACGTGCATGACTGGTAACTGCAAAAATCAAGGATAGATTCTTAATGCATTTTCCTTTTTTAAACCTCTTTTCCAGGTGGTTGACTCAGAAAGGCGTTCGGCAGAAGAAGCTGAACGAGTGGCTGGGCAATGAAAACACTGAAGAGTAAGTAGTTAGCACAGGTGGGAGGTAGCACGGCTGTCTTTTCATTTAAGGAAAATGCACAACTTGCTTCGTTTGCAGAGCAAGTGGGGAATGGAACGTCTCGTAGGAGAAAATATTATCAGTCTCATTACCCAGAATTTTAAAAAAGGAAAGTTTAGCAAAGGAGAATGCAGATTTCCTTTTCCCCCATGGGGCTTTGAGGTGACATTGTGTCCGTGATGATGTCCTGGAACCGTCTAGAAAATCCGAACATATTTTTGGGACCAATGTGGGTGGGGGTGGTGTTGCGGGGGAGACAACCCTTTTTAGCGTATTTTTAAAGCTTAAGTATATGTTTTGTTTCAATTATTTGAAAACTGGTGTTCCTCCTAGTCAGTCAATCAATTTCCTGATCTAAACTGGACAAACGGGATTGTTTAACACCTTGCTGTCTGCCGCAGGTAGCTGAGCATAGCTACTGACTGCCTTGAAAACAGGAAGAGTATCACTTAGTGCTACTAAAACTCTTTGTTCAGGGGGGTGTGGGCGGGCGGGGGTGGGGGTTGAAGGCTAAACTCAATGAGGAAACTCAGGCCAGAGAAGCTGGTTGAGTCAGACCCGCAATCGCTGGCCTGACTTGCTTGAAGGAGGGGCAGGAACTAGATCGAAGTGAGGAGAGGGCCCTTTCTCAGAGGGGCAGGCTGCTGGCTGCCGGCTGCCATGTACTTCATTTAGAAACCTTCTCTTCTACCGTTTTAGCCAATATTCGCTGGTGGAAGATGATGAGGATTTGCCCCACCACGACGAGAAGACATGGAACGTTGGCAGCAGCAACCGAAACAAAGCCGAAAACCTGTTGCGAGGGAAACGAGATGGCACTTTTCTTGTCCGGGAAAGCAGTAAACAGGGCTGCTACGCGTGCTCCGTAGTGTATGTACCCCCAGCCAGTTATTTGTCTCGTCAGACATCTCAAGGAGGTGTTTCATTCGTTCAGCCAGCCAGCCGTGCGGGCAAGGATTTGGAAAAGAAGTTCTAATCTTTAAGAGTGTTACAGTAGCACAAGGGTGGAGAAGAGGAAATAAGGCCTAATATTTTCAAGTCTAGGCAGGAGCAGCTGTCGAGTAGAAAGAAACCTGCTGCTTAGGTGGGAGACTAGGGCTTGGGAGAGGTCCTGTTTTTCTTTTTCGTCATCTTTCAAATGGAAATAGCCACACTTGCTGCTTTTTGGGGGGCTTCCGTATAGTTAGAATCTGAGGTGATCCACACGGAAGCACCACCCAAAGGTAAAGTCCCCATCGGGGACAGGTTAAAACAGTAAGAGAAAGGACCCTGGTCACTGTCCCTGAGATAAGTACACCCAAGAGAAGACATTTCCGTCCTATGGCCTACTTTCCTTTGTTTGTTTATGTAATAGTTTGGGGGTACTTTGAAGAGTGAGCTTGGATCACTGACATTATTTCAGAGACGTGAATGTCCTCTAGGAGAGAAAGGGTCTCCCAAGTATTTTATAGCCCATCACCTCCCTCCATTTAAGCAGAGAGAGAAATATTGCTACAGGAAAGGAGTGAGAACTTTGAGGACAAAGGAATAGGAGAATAGATGGAGAGGTGTGTGGACGATTCCAGGCCTGCCTGAAAGGAGGAATCCTGTTAATAATTGTAATGGTGCCACTCTGGTTGGGCGGCAGCGCTCATAGTAACGGCTAAAGTCACCACCTGTTGCCTGCTCACCGCGTTCTAGGCATCCAGCAAGCCCCTCCCATACATCACCTCATTTCTCAAAGCTCCCCTCTTACAGATAGATTACTACTGTCTCCCTTTTAATCCATGCTAGAGAAAGATGGCAGTCCAGTGGCTCAGTGAAGCTGGGTTACCTCCCGAAGTTACTCAGCCCGTAAGTGACAAGGGACAACTCCACTGAGTCCAGGGCTCCCCCAGGACTGGTTCCCAGGTGGAGGCCGGCCTGCATCGGGGATTTTCACGATGCTTTTACCCAGAACGCCTCATCCTGGCCCAGCTCACCCAGGCCCTTGTGCTCTCTCTCGGTGTGCAGGGTGGACGGTGAGGTCAAGCACTGCGTCATCAACAAGACGGCCACGGGCTACGGCTTCGCCGAGCCCTACAACCTGTACAGCTCCCTGAAGGAACTGGTGCTCCACTACCAACACACGTCCCTCGTGCAGCACAACGACTCTCTCAACGTCACGCTAGCCTACCCGGTGTACGCGCAGCAGCGGCGATGAAGGGCCGCCCTCCCGCCTGCTTCTCACCGTCAGCTCCCCGAGGCCTCCAGCAAGCACAGGGCTCCCCTGCAGCCCGACCTGGGAACTGAGCTGTGGACACCCAGCCGCCCGTCTTCAGATGTGACTCGAGCTTTCGATCACACGGCAGTAGGGGAAGACACATACGCGGCGGGCTCGCACTGGGCGACGACCACCGTTCCTCGTCTGGAGCGCTTAATTAGCCTTCCTTTCTTTCCTCGTCCTTTCTTCTTTTTGGTTTTGTTTTTTGGATTAATTTAAAGTCACAACCACACACGACACCAAGAGAAAAAGAAATGCAAAAATCTCTGCATGCAGGGACAAAGAGGCCTTTAACCATGGTGCTTGTTCGTGCTTTCAGAAGCTTTACCAGCTCAAGAGTTGGGACCTTGGAGACCGGAGCGGGGACGGGCTGACGAGCCCTGGCCTGGGGTCGCTCAGTCCAGCCTGGGTGTTGCCGTGCACGGTGGCCCCAGACACATCGCACTGTGGATTATTTCATTTTCTAACGAAATGAACCGATATGTAGCAGAAAGGCACTTCCCGCTCACAGGGGACACTTTGGGGAACGTACGTTCAGAGGAAATTCTGTTGTAGCAAAGTGCCAGAAAGTGTTTCGTTAAAACTCTACAAACCAAGAAAACCCACCAACAGAAAAATGGAGCTTGGAAAATAGGACTTCAAAATGACATTTAGTATATAAAATATGTACATAATATTGAATGACTAACTATCAAATAGATGGATTTGTATCAATACCAAATAGCTTCTGTTCTGTTGTGCTGAAGGCTAAATTCACAGTGCTATGCAATTCTTAATTTTCATCGTTGTTACCTGTTTTAAACGTTACCTTCAGAATAAGCTGCCCCTGCCCCAATTTTTTGTTGCTTGAAAACACTGTCCCTGATTTTTTTTGTTAATATTCATTTTGTTACTCGTTACCTTTTTTTTAAAAAGAAGAAATGTACAGGATGCCAGTTTAAAAAAAAAAAAAAAAATGGCTTCAGATTTAAAACTGAAATATTTTACAGTTTTTCTTGTACAGAGTACTTGGCTGTTAGCCCAAGGTTAAAAAGTTCATAACAGATTTTTTTGGACTAAATGTTTTGTTGGGCAGTGCCTGATAAGCTTCAAAGCTGCTTTATTCAATAAAAAAAGAGAAAGATATATGAATATGACAAAGTATGGCTGAGTTCAACAATGTTGTTTCAAGACTTTTTAAGATACGGTACCTGGCAATGTTTGTTTGTTTCATAAAGAATTGGGAACTTCTTGAATCTAGGGAGGGGAATGTAGCAAAGCGGGGGGGGGGGGGGGGGGGAGGGTGGCAGGATGGCATGCACTTTCTCTTTCTTGTGATTACAGAGAAGTGGATCACTGCAAAGTGAAGTCTTTTCCCACTTTCATCTGCTACTTACTAAACCCTCATGACAATTACAAATCTATAGGAATGCTAGGTCTTAGGAAGGAAGGCAGGCAGGGCCCTGGAGCAGTGTTCACCCTCGTTGGAAACACTGATATTGATTTTAAAGTATCATTGCTGCATTTAGAAAACCTGTCTCTCTCTCTTTTAACATTAGACTACCTGTTAACAACCAGCCAACATCCACTGTAGAAAAAGCATGATCTGAGAAGATATTTTTAATCTGGATATCTGCTATTTTCCTAGCTTTCCACTCAACTTAGATCAGAAAGCAAATAGACATGGTCATAATCGTTCCTGCCCCGATTGTGGGGAGCTTGTTCAAGTCATGGCCGTTGTAGGAATCATAGTAACAGTCCTCATTCACCCAAATAATTGTATGTGTTACGCTTCACCGTGGGGAAAAGGAAGGACTTGTTAGCGTATTCTTTCCAACTGAAGGCAACAGCAAGAGGTCTCTCTCTCTCTCTCTCCCCAATCTACAAATGCAAAAGCCTTTGGGTTCAGTGGGAGCTGTACCTGTGTTGGGAGGAACAGTGGGGAGAGTAAAATGGAATCTTAACAACTTCAGTTTTCCTTTCCTATTTAGATTCACCACAGCTTTATTTCTCTTTCCTTCAACTACTGGGGGTAAGGGGGGTTTTGTTTTGTTCTTTAATGTTGTTCCTTTTAAAATTCTTTTGAAAGAATCAGTCTAGTGGCTGACTCAATCAACTGTAGAATGTATTTTTTTTTTCCTTTTTACATGAAGCTACTCATATCAATAGCAATAGTCAGTCTTACAGCCAGACTGTCAGCCCTCAAACTTGACTGTACTGACCTGACCATCTCCCTCGCATCTCCAGACAATTGACAATTCCCCTGGTTTTACCCTCTGAGTGTCTCCTTTACAACTATCCATGTCATACAGAAGCCCAACCATTAGTTAATAGTAGTTTATCAACTAGGTTTGGTGTTTTTTTTTTTTAGTAGCACATCCATGTATGCTATTAAGGAACTTTAATTTCTAAAATATAAGATCTGAGATGGAATATTGCATTAAAAAGCTACCATTCTGTCCATGTTTTTGCTTCACCACTTCACTAGATGGCATGATATTTAGGCACTTGCCTTATTTCTGCATCTCACGAGCAGAAATGCAATAGGTTTTTCTTTGACCAGCAAAGGCAGGATTCATTGTTTCCTGTCACCGTGAGTCACAACTTACCTGTGATGCTACGCCTGTGCCCAGTACCCTTCTGACGACAGCGTGTGGCATGCCATCACATCTGTCCTTGTAGATGTTTGACCAGCAGGGCTCTGAGTCCAATCGTTCATCTCCTAACCACACTGAGCAGCTTATGATTAGGGATGGATACAGCAGAGGCCCTCCTGATACATGCTTACATCCATGCATTGATCTTCCCCACCCAACGCAGCATCCTGAAGATAAAAGCCAGAAGCTAAGCTGAAGAGAGGCTGTGATGGGGCTCTAGAATTGGGAGCATTGGGATCTGATATAATACATGAGGGAAAAGTCATAACCATGTTGAAAAGGCAAAAAGCCTGTGTCTGCAACATCTGACGACTTCACGGCCCTCGATATATGTATATATGTATATGTGCATGGACTGTGTTTCCAGTACACCTTTCAGCCAAAACAGATCCACAGTCGTCGAGTTCAAGTACATAACAAGCCAATGTCTAGTACAATTCTTGTATGTGTGTATGGGGGTTTTTTTCCTTTGAAGTTGCTTTGTTTTGTCTTATAAAGGTGAAAAGTGTTTCAAGTGAAGTGAGAAGTTCATAATTCTTTGGCTTGTTTCTGTTGTTTAAAAGTTACTCCTTTTGGGTAGCTGGTCTATGTGACTCGCTGAACTTGGAAATCCTCGTTTTCAGTGTGTCAAGTCAAGATGTGTTTATGTGAGCTGTCACTGTGGGGAACCAATTGCTTTGTCATATAGCTGGTTATGAACTAGTAACGTGTTTGGGAAGTCCTACTGATGTTCCTTTTTGGGAGAAAAATTCTGCTGGTTCTAACAACTGTGCTTTTGCTATGCATGGTATCCAAGTCAGTTGGAGAGCAGACCCTGAAATTTGAGTTCAGGGTCATTTAAGAAAGGGGCAGTTTATAGCACAATGCCTCACATGGGACAAAGTTCCGAAATGCCAAATTCTTATTTTTTAGAAATCTAGTTATATATAAATACTAGTATAAATTACTAGTATTATGAACAAAATTGGGTTCATTGGAAACACTAACCAACTTAACTTTGAACTTGTCACCATGAGATAGCATTAGCTGCCCAGGATGCTGCTATTTAAAAAAAAGAAAAAAAAAAAGGCAAAACAAACAAAAAAAACTCATTTATATGTGTGTATTTTTTAAAGCTACGATCTCTTCGATGTTTTTACAAATCTGTTTCTATGACATTGTTAAAATAAAGTTGGTCTTTTGACGAGAGGGAGGATGTCATGGTCAGTTGTAATTTTGCCTTTACAAGGCACCTGGGGCGGGGGGCGGGGGGACTGTGCCTCCTTGACATTTGTTCAAGCTATAGATTCAATGGAGCTATGTCTTGTTGTTTTAAGTTGCTTTAATGCATTGTATTAGGTCTTCAAAGAGAATAAAGTTTGTTTTGAAACTTAGGTTATGGTTTGAAATTTCAGTGATCACCGAAGACATATGTTCTCTTGCTCTTTCGGTTAATAATGTTGCTTCTCCTGTAGTCTCCCACCCACCCCCTTTCACTGTCATTACATTATCTCATTTTTGTCAAGTGAGAAGAACACATGAATGATGGCTCAGTGTCATTGACATCAGTTCACTATATCCTTAATGATGAAAAGAACTAGCTCTAGGTGATGTCATTGCAAGGCATGTTCTTGGTCCAAAAAAATGTGATATCCACTGTCCCTCAATCCCTCCCCTTCACCATGCATCCCCAAACCTTCAGAATTGTTCTCTACAAACTATGGTTAGTGAAGGTATCTGGCTTTGTCTCTCTGTTCTACAGGCTGCGTGCTTGAAACAGGCACAGTGCAGGGACACTGTGAGGCACTGTGCAGCAGGCAGAGGTGTGACATGGGGTTCTAGACAGGGAACAAAGATTCACTACAGATGCTGGTTTCACACTCTAGTATCTAGTCAATATATGCAAACCATTCTTAATCTAAAATAACTTTCCCACTTGTTTTGATTGCTGAATGAGTTTATAATGAGGCCACTTTGCATGGCACTCAACACCTAAGCACAGTGAGGGTCCTAGACATGGAGGCATGGTCTAGTGATGGCGATGAGAGGGGCACATAAGTAATTATAGTCATGGCAACAATGACTAATATACTGTGTAGAGGAGTAACTCTTGAGATTCATTTCCTGCTTTTCCCCTGCTCTGTTCTGTATCACAGAGAACTATATACTCAGGGTCTCTTGCCCTCTGGCTTCTAGGTAGTGAATCTCCCCTGTGGTTCCAGTTCCTGCCAGAAAGACTCTTTGGAATCTGGGCAGCCCTACTATGCTCCTCTCTCCTTCTCTGTTCCTCTGGCAACAGTGCCTCTTCCCATTTTTATTCTAAGCCAAGGGGTAGCTGCAGCTTTCTGTTGTTGCTAAACCTCTGGTTTCTCTCACCACCCCCAGTTTGGTTTCTGAGTCCTTCCACCACCTGAGTAACCAATCCTCTTTATTCAGGTCTTTCTTTAAGAGCTAGAGTCATTTCTTTTTTCCTCACTGGTCTCTGACTGATGGACCAAGTGATTATTGTTCATTTAAACTCTTTGTATGTTTTATCTGATTTAATCCTTCCACAATTATGGGTTAGAAGACAATATCTCCGTTCTACAAATGGGGAAACTGAAGCACTGAGGCTAAGCGACTTATCCAAGATCGTGCAGCCATTAGAACACAGAATAGAGCACCTAGGCCGTCTGACTCAAGCCAGAGCTCTCCACCCCTAAGCAAGGGCTGGAAAAGGCACTAGGAAGGTCAGAGAAAAGTTCACTAGTTGCTCTTCCTGCTGGGGGATCTAACCATGTGTCTCTCAGTTGGTGGACAGTATACAAGTGGCACATAACAAATAGCAGGAAATGGCATGGGTTTGCTTTAGACCACCTAGGTTCCCAAAGTGTGGTCTCCAGGCTAACAGCATTACCATCAGGACCACTTGGAAACCTGTTATAAAGGCCTACTTGAGGGCCCCATCTACTAACTCAGAGTGAGACCATCTGTTGCAGCCAGTTCTCTGGGCGATTTTAAATGTATACTAAAATTTGAGAATCACTAGAATCACCAGATTGTTGAAATAGTACTCCTAGTATATTAATTAAAAGCCACTACTTTTTTTTTTTTTTTTTTTTTTTTTTTTTGCGGTACGCAGGCCTCTCACTGCTGTGGCCTCTCCCGTTGCGGAGCACAGGCTCCGGACGCGCAGGCTCAGCGACCATGGCTCATGGGCTCAGCCGTTCCGCGGTATGTGGGATCTTCCCGGACCGGGGCACGAACCCGTGTCCCCTGCATCGGCAGGTGGACTCTCAACCACTGCGCCACCAGGGAAGGGAAGCCCCCAAAAGCCACTACTATTAATGAGTGATATATATTTTACTTTATGGTATAATTTGTGCTCACAGTATAGATTCTATACAGGAAAGATAATAGACCCATTTACAGCTTAGGAAGGCCTAGCTGGGTCTTAGCTCTTTCTTTAACCAACGATGGGAATTTGACCAACTCCATTTACCTATCTAGACCTCCAACTCCATACC